CGGGCGGAGGCAGCTTGGCGGGGGAGGGGGGCGCTGCTGCGTAGGGGCGAAATTCCCATCCCGGCAACAGGGCGGCGAAGCCTCGCCTGCGCAGTGAGCTCTGCACGTGCTTGGAGAGGGTGGGCTTGTGACTGGGAGAAGCGGGCTGGAGTGTGTGTATCCCTGCAATAGACCGTGACTGGGGGAGCTCTAGCACGCCTGGCAGCACGATTTCTTGTATTTCCTTCTAGGCAAACACAGGAAGCATCCTGGTGGCCGTGGCAATGCTGGAGGCCTGCACCACCACCGGATTAATTTTGACAAATAGTAAGGCACCTAAAAGCCAAGGCTCCTTCTCTCTCTCCTACGACTGTTGAAATGCCACATGGCTGACAACCATTCACTAAAAGGACAGACTTTGTAACAAGAATGCCTTTTGTTTTCCTCCTCTTGTAGATGTACTACTTTCCGCAAATTAGTGTGATTAACCATTTTGAGTTCAAAATGGAATAAATATTTCAGAACTATTGGGTTTTTGTAGAACTGAAGGTTGGGACACTAGTAGTCTGTTCAGGCCCGAGTCATGGCTGCATTAAGACATAGTAAGCAAACTAATCAAAAACCCTTATCTGATTGATTTTTCCTGAAACAAGAGATGGCCGAGACTAGAGTCACATCTAGACATTGCTTGTAGTCATGATGTGCTAGAGTACTCGGAGAATACCTACTAACCTTTATTCACTGCCTGTCCTTATTAGTAGTTCAGTCAGTCACCAGGTTAGTAACAAAACCTAGAGGTCAATTCCAAAGTTTTGGGTGGACAGATTGCAAACTAATAGAGAATGCACAAGTTGTGAATTCTGCTTATGAAAATGACTTGTTTTTAGTTTCAGAAACTGTAATTACTGGTAAGATCAGTTGATTACATCAGCAAGTAACACTTCAATGCAGTATATATCTGCTTATTTTCCTTTTTTCCTTTGCTTGTTTGGCAAATTAGCAAGGAGAATCAGGGAGGATTTAGCTGGTATTAATGTGTACATGGGAGATGCTTATACATGAGTCCAGATTTCAAAAATCTAAATGCTAAAACTTGAGCTGCATGAGGAAAAAATAGTTTGAGGCATTCAATGTTCTTGAAAAGCTAATGATTCCAATTTAAACCAAATAGAATGTCTTGTGTTGGTTTTTTTTTTTTCCCACCCACCCCCAGCCATCCTGGTTATTTTGGGAAAGTTGGTATGAGACACTATCACTTGAAGAAGAACCAGAACTTTTGTCCTACTGTCAACTTGGATAAACTCTGGACACTTGTTAGTGAGCAGACAAGACTCAACTATGCAAAAAATCAGGCCGGATTAGCACCTGTTATTGATGTTGTACGCTCGGTAAGTATACTTGGCTTAGCACACATTCACATTGGGATTGGTTGCATTTCTTTTTTGTCTATGGTCTTGTTGACTGATCTGCTGTATTAAACTAGTTCTGCTTAAATATGTGCTGCTGTATTTTTGGCTAAATTTTTTAAACAGATGTAAAATTGTTTTCCCCTACTATTCAGTTCAGAAAAATAAACTAGCTTCTGTGATGTATATAATCAGTAGACTTCACATTAAAGTCAGTCTTACTGCACTCTGTCTCCTTTTTGTGCATCTGATTTCCCCCTGTGTACTTGCATGCAGCTGCTCAGATGAGCTATTTCAATTTTGGGAGGCCATTGGAGGATGTCAGGGTATCTTATGTTGCCTATTAGGATGTTTTTTTACAACTCCTGAGCAACGTAAGTTTTGCCAGCATCAGTGGTTGTGTAGACATGGCCTTGGAGCTTTTAGTGCATCTAATTTTTCAGGGTAATGTGGGTTAGCCTGTCCACATCGAGACTAGAGTCACATCCTGGCATTTTGCATTGTCTTGGTGTGCTATAGTCCTCGGAGAATGAGTACTGGTCTGTATTCACTGCTTGTGGTGTCTCGTGCCTTAGTCAGTCACTTGATCAGTAACAGTTTTAAATAAAAAGTGATACTTTTAGCCCGCTTGGTTAGAGTACGTCAAAACAAAAGTAATCCGAGGAACAATGCAATGGCTCCTGTTAGATCTAGAAGAACCAATAAGTGGTTCCAAGATGTTAACTTGTCAAGCAATTGCTTTATTACTTAGGGTGCATCTACACAGCACCATAAACTCAAAATAAGATACATAATTTGTACTATGCAAATTGCATATCTTCAATCTATTTTGAAATTTGGCATGTCTACACAGCACCAAATTTCGAAATAACATGATATTTCAAGCCATCCTTTAACCTTTGTGCAGTGAGGTTTACTGGGATCATGAAATAGCGTGCCCGTTATTTCAAATATTTTTTGAAATAACAGGTGGCTTCTGTTGATGCAGGGTAGCTATTTTGGGATACCTCCAGATGCAGTACAGACATACCCTTACTTGTTTTCCAACATCACAAGGAGGCTATAACCTAAGTGATACCTATTCAGTGGGGAAACTGGATAAATTTAAAGCTTAAATTCTTTAAGGTCTCCAGTAGCTAAGAGCTAAACTGGGCTTTATTGTGTATCATGAAATGTTAAACTCATGTAGATGATTACGGTTCTTCATTAATCTTATTTATGCCAATTTCTCTGGTGTTTTAGGGTTATTACAAAGTCCTGGGCAAGGGGAAGCTGCCCAAGCAGCCTGTAATTGCTGGATAAATTTAAAGCTTAAATTCTTTAAGGTCTCCAGTAGCTAAGAGCTAAACTGGGCTTTATTGTGTATCATGAAATGTTAAACTCATGTAGATGATTACGGTTCTTCATTAATCTTATTTATGCCAATTTCTCTGGTGTTTTAGGGTTATTACAAAGTCCTGGGCAAGGGGAAGCTGCCCAAGCAGCCTGTAATTG